AGAAATATGCTCGTGTTCTCTGACCTGATGGTAATGCTGATTTCTGCCTTTTAGAGTTCAAAGAAAAATTCCATTTGATCTTAACAGAAACCCTTTGAGATAGCTTAAAGAGGTGTCTTTTTCTTCTTTTCTTTGAAGAAGAAAAAGGAGGTTCAGATAGTCCAAATTTGTGCAATTATTAGATAACTAGGTATCATATCATGAGATATTTATCTTGGAAATTTAATTGTATGATCAGTTAACTAAGATCATTTCCCCAAATCACCAGAATTTTAAAATGTGGGAATTTAAATCCTTTTCAATTGAAAGTACAGACAGTTTCTTTGCTTTAAATTACATATACCCATGTTTACCCATGATCAGGAATGCTGTGGATACTTTGATAGAATAATCGATTATCCTGTATTCCTTTTTTAAAGTGTTGTGTTAGCTCAAGTGTAATACAAAATAAAGTCCACGATACTTATTGTTGAACAACAGTAGGTATATGTCTTTGAATAAGCTCCTTAATATTATTAGTCAATAGGTTTAAATTGACTTCCCAAAATATTTAAATTGACTGAGTCCCTGTTCTCTGTTATAACTAGCTCTCTGTTCCTGCTTTTAGATGTTATTCTTTAAAGACGACTGAGTTAAATGTGATGAGCAGAAAGCATATTACTTAAAGGGATCTCTCTTTAAAGAACATGAAAATGACTGACCAGTTTTGAATAAATTCAAACACTGACATTAATTTCCATAGAACTGTAGTGCCTTACTTGCAGAGCATTGCTACTTACAAAACCTATTATTATTTTGACCCATTTGAAATACCAGGGGTGCCAAAAAAATAATGTATGCACATGACTTGTATTCATCTTTTGTTATTGGCATATACTGAGTATTTTCCTTTCTTAAAATGTGTATACATTTTTTTGGCACCCCCTGTATGTTTGTCATGTTTATAAAAAATTAGAGCTCCAATAACACAACTGTCTAGTTTAACCAGATGTGTATGGTGTGTTTTATGCTATCTGGATTTTTTTTATTCAGTATTCTTGATTCTATAGCAGGTAAGTGTAGGAACTAGAACCCACAATTTCTGATTCTGAACTCTGTCTCCTTTCTGCTGTACCACTGCTGTTTAATTAACAAAAGAAGCTTTATGTAGAATTAATTCACATTTCTTTGGGAAGTTTTCCTGATTATTTTTTTCTTTTGATTTTTTTTTTATTCTGTTGATGTTTTTCTGGAAATGGAGTACTAATTTTTCAGTGAAGGTCTTCATTGAAATGACAGTTTTTCCTGTAAAAGCACCCTCTTACCCATTTTGTATGAAAGCATATAAAGCATACCTGATTTACATAATAGGTTCTGCTTTAATACTTATAGAGTAAAAGACTCAACAAACATTCTTCTTGATTGAAACATATCGTATGTTAAGCTAAATGGACGGAATTACTTTAATATAGGTTTGAAAACCACTTATCAAACTATAAAAAGTACTTATGTTTGTTGGTGCTCTAATGCCATTTCTTCACATTTACTCTTAGAAAATGATCCCAAAATACCGATAGTCATGAATATATTCTTCACAATATTTTTGGTATTTGGGAATATTGGAAATGATCTATATGATACTCATCTATTTGATGGAATTCGATGCAGCCATCAAAAACGATCACTCTGGACTCTACTAAGTAAAATGAAAAGTACTTATGCTACATTGTTGAATAAAAACAGTTCACCAAGTAGTAGCTACCCTATAATTACAACTATTTGAAAAAATGTATGCATGCAGACGACTAGATGAGACTAGGGATAAAACCATAATGTTGTAAGGATTTTCAAATTTAATTTTACCTTCTGTGTTCCCGATTCTCTGTATAAGAAATCATGTAATTTCTGATCCTGATTTGAATTATAAGATTGAATTTGTTGAAATTATATCTGTTATTTATAACTTGCTAATATACATCGAGAAGATTTCTTTTGGGGATCAGCATAGTCTAAAGTTTCCTTGAGTTTATCAGAGAAACCAGGCCAAACCATATTCAGCGGTCAAGGGATAGATCTTGAAGGGATAGGTCCTGTTTTACTGATAGGGCTTATTAGAGAAAAATGTGTTTTAAAAGCTTTGAGAAGTTTTTTCCGTTTAGGTAGATACCGACAACCCAGATGCACATTTAATGCCTGGCAAATTTTTCCAGCCCCTTTGGCCTGTAGCTCTCACCAGTTCAAGTTTTCACAAGAGATTTTCTATTTCTTCTTTATTTTTTCAGAGACAAGGTTCACGGGAGATCAGCTATTTCAGTATATTTCTTTTTCATTCCCAGTGTCAGGAGAAACCTTGCACTGAGGCACTAGGGGGGGGTGGGGAAAGAAACACAGTAAAAAATGCATATCATGCAAAAAATATAACAAAATTCTTTGAACCTCAGAAAACGCTGGCTTTAGAACAAATTCTAAGCTAATTGCCAGTTATCAACTCTGCTTAAATATTTTTAGAATTCTCCCTGAATACATCCTGGGAGAGAGTAAAGAGTGCAAGATAATAAACCGTTACAGTAAACCTATGCAATAAATAAATAAAGCTATAGCAATTGCACACACATGCATAAAGCAGATGGAGAGGAGTGAGAAGGTATTGTAGCATGACCATTTTTGTGTAACTTGAATTTAAGTTCACATCACTGAAAATAAAAAGACCGTTGAAATAGATAGAGAAGTAAAAAGCCAAAATCAGCCCAACACTCAGGTTATATTTTGGGAGAACGATGCTCAAATCTCTGGCACCAGCACTGGCATAATTGTTTTTGGAAAATAGCAAATCTTTGATTTTCATAGTTCTTAAAGATCCTACAACTAGATTGCCTTTAGAGCTCCTTTCTCGTCAGTGTGGCAAAGAGTAAGGTAAACTGAAAAACAGAGGGCTCGTTCACCTGCGGACCGTTTCTCTGTGAGCCCTTTCGAGAAAGGACAAATTACTGAAGAGCTAACAGCAATAGCGTGAGGTCACATATATTAGTTTCCTGTTGCATGAGGCTGCATTGACAGATTTGCTTAAACAGAAAAGGAGCGTTTTTATTTATGACAGTATACAGTTAGCATCAATTTCATATGTATACATGAAAAGTTTTTATTTTCATGTAAGTGTGTCTGTCTTCCCATCTATGTTGATGAGCCTAATTTAGTAAGTGTTGGTTAGGGACTGGGGATTCGCGGTTTAGAAAGCTCCCCTGTTGATTCTTATGTTCAGCCAGAGTAAAGGGCAATCGTTCTGGATAACAGCTTACTCATTTTTGCTTTTCAAATTATAACCTTCTGGTTATCCTTGCTTTCTTTTGTTCAAGAAGATAAATGCAAAGGAAAATATATATATAGGGTTATCTGTAACTTCCTAAGTCATTTTTGTATTCCTAATGTCTCTCAGAGACATGAATAGTAGTTGTTCAATAATTTTTTAAATAAATTGAATGAGGTGATGAATAGAATTGGGCCATTAGTACAGTATGTATGTGGAATACAGAGCTTTACCTAATAAGTTTGAAGTTTCCAAATAGTGCAAGATGTCATTTATAATGTTCTTTTTAAGATCTAGCATGGTATAAATTATACAGCCCTTTTTAAAGGAAGCACTGTCCTCAATAATGGGGTATGAATATAACGAGGAAAACACCTAGAATTAAATGTGATCATTTTACGTGCACAAATCCAAGAACATCTTTGCTTTTTAAATAGTATAAGGGTTCTGATTTCTCTTTCTTGCTGAACTCCAAAATAAACTGTTCGGGGTCTGTATTTGCTGTTTGTGAAAAGATACGTGAAAAATAAAAACTCTTAACTTGAAGCCTGAAGTAGAAACATGAAAATATTAAAAGGATATTCCATGTTTTAGATGGCCCTCTTGTGGTAAAAAGGTCAAACTATCTCAAATGAAGACAGTTCTGGAAATCTGATAGGAGCAGGCACCATGACAAACTTTAATAGTAAGAGTCAAAATTGAACAGATGAATGCAAAATAATTCATTTCACCCTTCCCCCGTGGTCCCCATGGCAAAATTAGTAGATATAAAACAAATAGACTGTAACAAAAACTAATCTTTTTCTATCTGCTTTATATAGCTACCAAGTGAATGTCTTAATGATAAAAAAAAGAAAAAAATCTCCTGAAAACATTTTACTAAAAAAAGCCATCAAATTTTACTTTTTACACCTTCACTTAGAAATAATTTCCGATTAGCACAAAAGTTGCAAAAATAGAACCAAGAGTTCCTGCCTGTTCTTCACCCAACTTACCTAAATATTAATCTCTTACATAACCATAGAGTCACTTACAAAACCAGAAAATTAGCATTGATATACTGCTATCAGCCAATCTACAGAGCTTAATCAAATTTCACCATCTGTCTTATCAACATCCTTTCTCTGACCCCAGAGTTGTCAGGCCTGTGACAGTGCCTCAGTTTTTCTTTGTCTTTTGTGAACTTGACACTTTGGAGCAGTACTGATCAGTTCTTGTAACACTTTCTTCCATTTCAGGTTGTCTGATGTTTCTTCATGATTAAATTCCAGTTATACATTCTCAGCAATAATGCAAGGAAAGTGATGTTGTGCACTTTTTCAGCGTATCCTAAAAATAGGCACATGATGTCATTATGCCTTGTCACGTGATGTTAACTTTGATCACTAGGTTAAAGGGGTGTCTGCCAGATTTCGTCACTCTAAAGTTACTGTTTTTCCCTTGGTAATAAATATAGCAACATACTTTGAGATTAGATATTTTACTGTAATTAGCATCACAAATGCGTTTTCTTGCTCATGAACATTTTACTGAAATGGGGTTATAATTTGTACACTCAAGTAGGAATTTTTAAGATATTTTATGTTTCGTTTGCAAATCATCTTTTCCCTTTTCATCTGTAGCCTTCTTTCACTGGTCTTGTGCTTTAAGTGAAAACCTTCTGAAAGATTCTACGAGTTTCTGTTGACTGACCCCCATGCACTTACTGACCTTGTAGGTATGTCGAGAGTACCAGCGTGGCAATTGCAACAGAGGAGAAAACGATTGTCGGTTTGCTCATCCTGCTGACAGCACAATGATTGACACCAATGACAACACAGTCACCGTGTGTATGGATTATATCAAAGGGAGATGTTCTCGGGAAAAGTGCAAATACTTTCACCCTCCCGCACATCTGCAAGCCAAGATCAAGGCTGCCCAATACCAGGTCAACCAGGCTGCAGCAGCACAGGCTGCAGCCACTGCAGCTGCCATGGTGAGTAGAGACATCAGCTCCCTCCTTGCTAGCAGTCAGAAAAGCAAAGTGAACAAGTATCTCTGACTACAAGCTCTTCATTTATTAACTTTTTTTTCCTTTTTTTTTTTTTTTTTTTTTTGCTGAAAATATGTTTGTTCAGGTATCCCAGACAATACATAATGAAGTTACCATTCACAGAAGTGAGGGTAACTCCTCAAATGGTTCAGATTGCTTCCATCTTTGGCCTAACTCTTAATACTCTGTCTTATTCTTAGACATAGGGTTTCTGAAATTTCTGCTTTGTAGAGAACACCTATCTCCTTTTCCATTTAACAATATTGCCATTTTCGGTCTCTTATTTCTGTATGCCATCTAATCAGCCATTGTTCTCCTCTGGTGTGTTCTTTTGCACATCAAGGCTCTTCTCTACATAGATCTTGCTTTTAACAGTAACGTAATCTGAAACTATTTAGAGGAATTGCTTTGACAAAATGTTTTTAGAAGTAGCTACAAGATTTTGAACAGTATGCTATCGAGCTTGTCTTAAATAATATTGTGGCATAAACATAATTGTAAAACGAGAGAAGTTTGACTATGCCATTATCTAGAAAGGAGAAAGATAGCAGTACTCAGGAGATAGAAATTGGATCATTTAGAATAGATACTAAACTATAGTCTTAAGGTAAATTTTAATGTGATCTAAAAGCTGATTTTAATGAGTCCATTCTTTGTTCTTTGCTTAGCTTTTTTAATGTCCTTTTCTTACATAAATATGACTTAGTCATTAAAATATTCATAAAAAATGCTGTGGCATTTCATAGCACAGTAAAATCATCGCGAGAGAGGTCTTTTCTGTGTTTGTTTACGGATACTTGAGCAAAAATACAGAAGGCTGACTCTCTCCTCCTCTCTTCCTTTCACTCTTTTTTTTTTTTCCGTTAGAGTATCTTGTTTGTAATTAACTACAAAGAGGAGTTATCCTCCCAATAACAACTCAGTAGTGCCTTTATTGTGCATGCTTAGTCTTGTTATTCGTTGTATATGGCATTCCGATGATTTGTTTTTTTATTTGTTTTTTCTCACCTACCCAAAAATGCACTGCTGCCCCCATGATGCACCTCTGCTTGCTGTTTATGTTAATGCGCTTGAACCCCACTGGCCCATTGCCATCATGTGCTCGCTGCCTGCTAATTAAGACTCAGTCGGCTGTCAAATCACTGAAGCGACCCCTCGAGGCAACCTTTGACCTGGTACTATGACCTTTCACCTTTTAGCTTGGCATGTAGCTTTGTTGTAGATACAAGTTTTTTTTTTTTTTTTTTTTTGTTATTTTTTTTTAATCAATTTAAAAATATATATTCCTCTTTCGGTTATAAAGTTGTAAAGTACAATGCAAAACTGAGTGTGGTTTCCTGACAAAATTAGTGGAAACACTTATAATAAAGTACCTGGATGGATATCATACCATGAAAGATTCTGAAAGCCCAGCAGCCCACATTCAGTTTAACTACATTGTAGAACCATCTAATGACATACTTTAAAGATGTTAAAAATGTATTTTTGACAATATATTTATGTACCTATTTGATTAGCATGGCTTTAGTGATAGAATTATTTACTTTTTTATATTTTATAGTTCAGTGTTTAAGAAAAAAAAAAAACTTGCATGCTCTGGGACATGTGCATGTCTAGGTAGCTCTGGGGGGAGGAGCAGAGTGGGATCCGTTTTTATTTTACCTGTGTCAGTCACTCTGTACAATTAACTATTAACATTGCTTATACTTGTCGTCCTCATGGAGCTCACAGTGCAGCTTCTCTTCTTTTCCCAAACAGTGGCTTCTCAGAGAAAGCCTGAAGCATTATGGGACTGAAAACACTTTAACACATTGTAACATGTGCTGTTGCACTAGTGTTTTGTTTTGTTTTTGATAAAATATAATGCTTCTTTAAAGCTTTTATCTTGCCTTTGTTTTAAATTTTTTTTTGTTTATTAGATTTTTTTTTCCCCCTTGGGTAGTTAAGTGCTCTGCTGCTTGCTTGCTCATGCTTCCTAACAATTTTAGCCTTCAACTGATTTTTCTTTTTTCTTTTTCTCTTTTTACTGGTATTTGTTTTTTATACTCATTCACTAAACAGGGAATTCCTCAAGCTGTACTTCCCCCATTACCAAAGAGGCCTGCTCTTGAAAAAACCAACGGTGCCACCGCAGTCTTTAACACTGGTATTTTCCAATACCAACAGGCTCTAGCCAACATGCAGTTACAACAGCATACAGCGTTTCTCCCACCAGGTAAGGGATTTGAGTTTGTTAAGAAATGAATCTGACAATCCACATAGAGTCCTACTGGTAGAGCAGATAAACCAACCATGCCCCCAATTTTGTTGTTAGTCATAAATAAGGTGGAAGGTAAGGTGGTCAATAGTGGAAACTTATCTGAGGTATCTCATGTGGTTTTCCTTTAAAAAAAAATCAAGAATTTTAGCTTCATGGAACATGGATTAGAGAGCAGTGATGTTTTATATATTGATTCTTGTTTTTGTAATTTGGAATTGAAATATTGCTCTCTTCTTTTTCTTTTCTTTTCTCAACACTGTTATATGTCTGTCAAGCTACTTCATGACACTTTGGTGCTGTAAGACCCCTTTACCTTCACGGTTCCATAGAGTTAATTTCAGTGATATGAAAGGACACCTTCAGTTTTTACTTTGATTTTTCAGCCTTTTTGTTTTCAAGGCAGAGAATAAAAAACTGACTCTGTGTTCTAGAGCTCTTAAAAAGTGCTCTTTTCAATGCCAATCAGTACATTCATTAAAATCATTATTGCTTCTAAGCTAATATTGAAATAGCCCTAACTGCTCAGTGAAGTTAATATTTATTATTGAGTTTATACCTTTGTGGTTTCACTTGATTTCAACTTAGTCACATAAACATACTCTAGAACTATCCACAAGGGTGTAGAAGTTTTAAAACACAAACTAATCAGCCATTTGGTAACCTGGAAATTTATTTTAATTCACTTTTCATTTACTTCAGAAAATACATATTAAACTCCTTGTAATCTGAAATCCAATTAACCAGAGACCAATCCCATTTTCCTCTTTATCGCTTAACCTTTTCTAAAAAAAAAAAAAAAAAAAATACCATGGGTTCTGGTATTTATTTAATAAAATAATTTTATTAGTTTAATTAATACATTTTTGACTAGGTGTGTATGTCAAAGATCCTGACGCATTAGTATAGTGACAGTATTGACAGTGCATGAGGTTCATTAATACCACGAGGGAATGTGATCATTTATTTTTGAATAATGAAAAAAAGAATAAACTATATTCATATTAGTTTTTATTGCTAAGCACACCTTTTTATACAGTGCATCTTTAAAAACTGTCATTCATGTGTAGACTATGTAGTAGCATTCAATGAGCTAGAATATTCCAGTAATTTAAATAGCCCATGTAGGCACATAGGCTATTTGTATTTATGAAATAGTATCAATCAAATTGCAGTTTGTCCATTTTCAAATTAAAATTAAATCATTTTGATTTAATCTGTTTTTTTGCATTCTGAGTTAAAAATCACATGCATTTCTCTTATGTTTTATAATATTAAAACTTCTTTCTCAACATTTGTAGTTTTCCAGAGATTTCCAACATGTATGGTTTCTAGAAACTAATCTTTTTGCTCTTGTATAAATTTCCTTGCCCCTAAATTTACACTGTGTCCAACAAATAATCCATCAATTTTTCCATAGTCAGGTCACTAGACAAAGTTTCAAGGAATTACAGGTAATTACCATAATCTCTTTGATGAAATTAAAATTTTTTTGTCAGTTTAGTTCATGGAATAAAACATTACCATTAGAAATGTCAGTGTCCCTATTTAAAATCTAAAAATAAAAACAAATCTAACTTCTTCCATATATTTAAAGAAACCTAAAATAATATCAAAAGGGTTTTCCATAGTTTTTCCAACAATATTCAAATAACTAAAGACTTTTCTAAATAAGCATAACCATTAATTGTATAGTACGCATGATCCTTATTTATGACAGCAGTCTTTCTCTAGAATAGCTTTTCGTCTGTGGATAGAACAGAACAAAAAGGATCAAGTTAGAGAAAAACAATAAACACATTCATAAATCAGAATCACACTTATCCCTTAGTTCTACAAACTAAGCATTGTTAATTTAAATAGACTCTGCCATAATATATTGAAATATGCTGAAAATTTTAAGATATATTTGCATTTTTATGATGATTATATATCAGAGATAGTCTGTTCTTGATATTTGTAATCACTCTGATAAGAAATTATTCTAATAGTGATATAAAATAACATTTATTTGTAACCCAGTTTTAAAGGGCTTACGTTGCTGGTTAACCCTTTTAACCACATAATCAGAAATAGGTGTACCGCCTCCATCATTTTTTAAAAAGTATTTTTGTTTACAATATGTGCATGAGTGCACAAAAATTGACCCTATAACATGAAAAGGTTAAAATGGCTAGCCCGTCCCTACTTCTGCCATGCCCCTTCATCACACAGCCAGAAAGGAAAGAAATCCAGTGCAGAGAATGTAAACTCAAGTGCCTCAGGGACCAGGCAGGAAACAAACAAACAAGTGAAGCAAGAAATAAATTGGGAGCTGTGGGGTGTGGGAGGCACTGGGGAGCTCAGGCCAAATCTAAAGAGGACCGTCAGTGTTCAGTCTCAGCCTTTTGTAGCCCCAGAGAAATACCTGCCTGGCAAGTTGTCCTTGGTGTGCACTGCACCCCCTTTGTGGCTCCATTTACTTCATAGTCTGTGTGAACCTAGGGTGATTGTGCAATCACTGATGTCCAGTGTTGCCACATCGTATGATTTGTTTCCAGAGATTCTGGACATTTGGATGTTTGTATCTGAAATCTCTCGATTTTTAAATTTTATCAACTAATTCAATTTTTAAAAATACACTTTGAGGAATACAGGCAATCCATCCTACCACAAATTCATATGAAATCTTATATCATCACTGGGATAAAAAGAAGTTCATTTTCCAAAGTTTAAGTTATTCTGGAGACATACAGCAGAATTACATGATCAGAGCATCCCATCTGACCACCATATAATAATTTGGAAGGTATATTCTGAAATCTTCATTGGAACTGAGAAGAAGTGGAAGTCATTTATTTTTTGCAGCTTAGAATTTTACAGCCCTATAGTCTGCTGCTTCAATAATAACTTCAGAGATATGTAGGATTGTTACATTGAAGTTACAGTGAAGCATGGCTGGCCAAATCCTTAGAGCAGGTGACTACGTATACAGACTAGGTTGCTGGCAAAATATCAGGGTTCAGTGGCAAGCCAGCCAGCTAGTCTAAGAAAATCTATGTACCATAGCTTTTAAGAACAAAATTGGAGTTATGTGACGTCTACCCATCTATCCATCATCCATTCACGCATTCGTCCATCCTTTTATCCATCCATCCATCCTTCCAACCATCTATCTAAGCTTCACCCTCTCCCTCCCTCCTTCCTCTCTCCATCCCTCCATTCTTTCCTGTTTTTCATCCACCTACCCACAGACCTATCTGCCGTCCGTCTATCCATCCATCCCTTCATCCGTCCATCTTTCCATTCATTCAGTCAACAAACATTTATTGTATGCTACATGATATACTAGCGTTTATACTAGAGATTGCAACCTTAAGATGCAAGGGCTAAATCTAGAATCCAGAAATATTTGTCTAAGAAGGTACAAATAAAAACAAAATGTAAATCTTTTAGAAAGTGTGCATACTCTTTAGTTCCAAGTCCCAGAACTTCATATTGCCTGGGCCAAGTTTTACATATTTTGTTTAAAAGAGCCACCTTTTATTAGTGTTTGCTCTGTGCCATGCTGCACTGGGTGCTTTATATACAAATCTCATTTTTTCTCACAACAACTCTAAAAGTTTGGCATTAGTATTCCCATTTTACCAATAGCAATTTTGGGCCAAGAGAGGTCTGGTGATTTGCCCCAAGTTGCACAGCTTATAAGGTTTAGATAGAATATGAACTCAGGTCAGGTGGACAAGAGTCAGTCTCTTAATATCTGTGAGCTCTTTACATGATGACTTAAGAAAGAATTTGGGAGAATGGGACCGATGCACTAGCCCTTACTGATCACCTAACTCCATGACTGGTGCACACACCCTATATCTCAGTTAAAGATAAATACAAGTGTTAGGTTATGTTCACATTGAAGTTTTTTTTTTTAATTTTAGATACATACTACTTTTTTTACTTTTACCCTTCAAAGCCAAATTGATTATTTGTATAGATTATGCATAATCTATATGTTGTAAGTACAAATTTCACCCCCAAAAGTAGGGTGTATAAGAAATTTCACTTTTACTTGTATCAGTTTATATTCCCGATTTATAGTAAGTCCCACTCTAAACTCTAATCTCACTGCATTGGACAGAAATATTAAGTGTTACTGGGATTCCAGGACCCCATCCTTACATTTCTTCCTCCTCAAGGAGAGGCCCTGTGCAGTCCAGTCATCTCAGGTAACCCATTCTCCAGTCTTCAGTCACCACTGGTCACCTCTAATGTACTCACTGTCCATGCTTACAAGGTTTCTTGAAGGCCGGTGCTCCAGGGTGTATACGCCTGCCTTGGGTCCGAGCATCCTTGCCTAAGCCGCCCAGCCTGACATGGAGCCCATTCTCTTGAAAGCTTGCCACCTGCAGGGCTGTTGTGAAAGAACAGGCTACCTGCCTAACTACTTGTGGACCCTGCAGTCTGCCTTCCTCCTCAGTCTTGAATTTTTTTTTTTTTTAAGATTTAATAGGCCTTCTCAGATTCTTTATTTTATTTTATTTTTTGATTAATTTCAGGTGTGCAAAACCATGTACTAGTTAGACATTTACGCTTCCCACAAAGTGATAACCCCTCTCCACCAATCTACTACCCCTCTGACACCGTACATAGCTGTGACAATTCCATTGACTCTATTCCCTATGCTGTACTGTCACAAGATGTGGAGTTCAGTCTTGAATTTTTCTCTCTGCTCTCCCTCACCATTTTTGCCTACCTGCCAGCCTCAGAAGCACACCTCTGTTCCCTCCTCCAAGCACATTGCCTTCAATCAGCGTAGGCTTATGATTTAAAAAGATCTAGAAATAAGTTTGCATCAAGTAACTTCAGCTTTGGCTTGTGCACGGCAACTCTCCCAGTTAAAAGGAAACAAAAGACGGGGAACTTCCTTAGAGGGGTAAGGGAGAGGGGAATATTCAAGGGCTTAGGGTTGTTTTTACAGAAAGAAAATAAAGATTTTCAGCTTTTCACTTTTATTATAAGTGATGAAATTAATGCAAGCGGTTTACTTGAAACTTAGCATAGTGATTATAAATCCAGCTTGGAAGTTTAAATCCAGCTCTACCACAAATTATAATCTGTCTATACATTTGTATTTTTCTATCTGTGAAATGGAGATAATAATGGATTTTATAGGGTTATGTTTGAATGAGTTTTAAACATAATATGATAGCACATTCTCTCAACTCACTTTTACAGGCAAGTCTAAAGAGTTTAGAATAATGCCTGAAACATAGTAAGCACTAAGTTTTATTTGTTATTTCTTGAATTTAATAATGCAATAAAATAGAATTCAATAGATTGAATAGAAGCAGGAATAAATTATATGAAGCTGTGGCTCTTTAAATACCAATTTTGAGAATAATTCAATTGATTGCTAACTTTTAGTCCTAAATAATATAAATTAGTTTTAGAAGACCTTAAGTCAGCTTTATACTTGTGATCATAATACATCTAAATTTGAAACTCCAACCAAATGTCCATTATAATTCTTTTCCTCTTCTCCTTGAAGTAATTTTAACTATGCCTATATCTCATTTGTAAATTTTCTTCCTACACCTTCATACAGAGCGATTAAAAAATTTAATTTAAAAAGTCATGTAATTAAAGTAATGCATTTCTCAGAAACACACCATTCTGCTATGCAAATATCTTCATAGGGAAAATTTAACATTGACAAATACATTCACTTAAATTGGCTGAAAATTGAGGGAAAAAATTTAATTGGCTACTCGTGCATCATGATTAATAAATCAGCCCTTTTGATGTAAAGATGGACATTGTGTTCATTTCCTAAGTGATTTTTGTTTTCGGTAAGTGGGTCCTACAGCATTATGTCTTCATATGTGTGAGTTATTGCACCCTGGCTAGTATTTTCATTGCTGCCTTATGTTTATTTGCTGCAAATCCCTCTCAAAACTGTGTGCATTGGTTATCATGGTAATGAGGAAGATAACTCAAACTAAAATTTAAATTACAAAAGCTTTGGGGTTTTAGAGAGATAGGGTAAATTTAACTCATTTTCAGCATGTGCAGGCTTAATTATGCATGGGATGTAATAGAATAGGCAAATTGCAGCATAATAATAAATAATAAATTTAAAACCTATAACCTGTAGAATACTTAAACTAGCTTTAATATTCCTGAAATACCACGTTATTCCTTTTCATTTGTCTCTTCATCCTCTCTTTTCAAGTCCTCCCGCCTATCATTAGAGGGTAATGATTTCTCAGGTTCTAGACCCAGTATTACCGTATTAAAGTTTGCTTGCTCTACTGTCTCAGATTAATGTCTTTGTTATTTCTGGTGTGCTTCTGTTGTCTTTCACAAGTCTTTGAGTAGGTAGTGGTAGCAAAGGACAGAGATGTTCCAGTGTCTTAAATAATGCCTCCTGCTGTAATAGTGCCCCACCTCAGAGGACACTCCCACAGCTCTATTACCAAGTGTAATCACTGATCGTTGTGTCCACTGTCTCATTGTGATAACAGACTAATTGCAGCTGTTACAGGGATGCCAGTTAAGTAAGCTGTGGTTCTCAATGGCAGCTTTGTTTTGTAGGGCCATCTCTGACAAGACTCAATTGGCAGATATTTTTTAACAAATGTTCATCCCAGATGCTGCTAGTATTTAAATAGGAGATGCCAAGCTTTAGAGAGAAGTATAAAATCATTTGATATTTTAAAATCTGGGAGTCTAAAAGAAACTCAGAAAAATAACAGTGGTTTTGTATGTGGAAAAGTGCCCTGTACTTGGTAAAATAGATTTTTCAATGTTTATATGTCAAAGACAACAAGGACTTTATATGTAATATTAATTTAACACCGTGGTTGAACAATTGTGAACATCAGTGGTAACACCCCATATGCAATATATGTATCTTCATTATCTCCCATTCAGGGTTGTGTTTTCTTTTTTTGAAGTCTAATTACCAATTTTTTGTTTATGAAATTTTGGAGAATATTTGCTATTCCAAGAAGTCCTGAGGGTCTAAACCAACAATGAAAACTAGTCTGTTTTCCCAGATATCTATTGAGTAAACCAGTTCGAAACATAAGAAAGCATATCCCCTCTAAATGTTCTCCCTACATTTAAATTCCAAACTAGCGCAGTGCAGAAGTTGCACTTTCTCTTTATACATGATTTATTGCTTGGTATCCCTTCAAATAAAATTCCTATATGTATGATCACAACTTCTTCCATGTCTGTGTGATTGCTGCCACAGCAGGAAAAATAAAACCAAGGGAATGAAAATGAATGTGTTGGTTTCATTACATTTTTAAGCTAGTTTTGTGCATTGAATGATTTAGCATTTTAATAATAAATAATATTTCCAGTTATTTAACATGTGTTCAATATTAAGGAGACATTAAGACATTCCTATGTGAAAGTCAGAACGAGCAAAGCTGCCAGACGGCTAGTAACCAGATTAAAACAAAATTACAGTAGTATTTTAAAAGAATTAAGCAGGTTTAATTTTTTTCTCTCAAAATACTTTTATTTATAGGCAGCAATTAGGAGAAACAAAGTGTACCAGCACACAGTTACACTGGCTTTTATTCTTCACTTGAGACTAGTTCTAATTGATCACTGTGCTATTGTATGATTTGATTGTGCTGACAGTTACATGCCACTGTTCCCATAATAACAATTTTTCTTCTTTGTTCAAATGAATTTCCTAATTACACGTGTGATGGGATGTTTTAATTCTTTTCCCTTTTCAAATCCACCTTCCTGTTGCAATGCATGATGGGCAGGCTCAATATTGTGCATGACACCCGCTACAAGTGTTGGTAGGTGCCAGCTTTGTTTCTTGATTATCTTAAACCTATGGTCCACCTCACAGCCCCTCAAAATCCACTGCTAAGTTTAACTTATATCTATTGGGCAAGTCCATTTCCCTTTTACTAACACCTGTCAATTAAATGTCATTTTCTATTTAATTGACATGGACTCACATAAATGTTTTCTTTACACACAAGTTTCCTTAGTCACCTTTAGTGGATTTTGATTGGACTATGAGTTCTGGTATGTAAAAAAAAAAAAATCAAAATCTAATAAAAGTAATATATTGTATATTTTTATAATAGTAAATAAGAAAAATTACTTTCATTCAAACAGATAACTGTATATATAAAGTAAATACCTGTATGTTGACTTAGATTTTGAATGTCTAACTATGAACACTATATAAAATTCTTGTTTTTGACTTAGCAAATTAAGCCTGTTTGTGTCAATTTTCTTGATTTGATGGTAACAAGCTTTTTTTCCCCCCCTTTTTTTTCTCTTTCATCCCCCTGCCCCTTCTCTCCCTGGAATGTTGTCCTGCTTTGCGCTGTGATTGCATGTCACTCGCTGGTGATGATGTCCCGTCACATGGCTTACTGCTGTGATAAATACCATGCCCAATTACCCCTCCATGTTGCCATGGTTTCCATGTTGCCACACTCTTCTGTATGTTTGCTTATATGATTTTCCCTCCGAAAGTTCCCATGGTGCACGGTGCTACGCCAGCCACTGTGTCCGCAGCAACAACATCTGCCACAAGTGTTCCCTTCGCTGCAACAGCCACAGCCAACCAGGTTTGCTAATTTACAGCTTTGTTTCTTACAAACCAACTCTAATAGGGCGCAATCTGACAGCCCTTACGCACGTGGCTTTCTCACTGGGGTCAGTGGGAATCGTGTGTACGTGAGGGCTGTAGTGGGTGCTTTAATAGCATGGGGTTTCAAAGATACCTCTTGTTGGCCTACACATTCTCTCTTATGACGAGCCGCAGAATGCTTTTTTGCCATGTGTTAAGTGCTCCCAAGTTGTCGCAGCTCCATTTCTAAAGCTACTAAAATGATATTTACACAAGCAATTCTCATTTGGCCTCAACCAACCATGCAGGTATTTCAACCAATCAAAAATACAGCTAATTAAAAAAAATAATTATCTATTTTTTTTCAGTTACAATTGACATTCAAAAAATGTGGCCAGTTTTAAGCTTTTTATTATAAATATTTTGTATATACAATTTCTCAATTCTTTCCTAAATTCTTAATAGAAAGCAAAATATTTAAATCTGTGACATATGCCACAAATGACTACTCTTGTAAATAGAGTTTGTTGTGAATGTATTATAGTTTTATTTGTTTGATAACCAGCTTGCATATTCAAAATAAATTAAATTTGTGTCCAAGTTTTGATTCTTGGTGCTTTAAGTAGAAAAAAAAACAAAAACAAAACCTAAGTGCTTTTATTTCTATAACTACTCAGCATAAATGTTGTGGAGTTAGGAAGGAAGAAAAAAGACATCAAATATGGTAAATTGAGTCATTCTGTGTTCCATACAAGTTTAGAGAGTAACAATTACACAGGTTACTTTTAAGTAAAGGGGAACTGTTTCAGAAACTTAAATTTTATGATGTATAAGAATGACTAAAAGAAAATGATTATTAAAATATTTAAAATTTTAAAATTGACATTCATTCAACAAGCATTTTCCAATGCTATTTAAAATTATGTTCTAAAA